CAGGAACAGGCAGGACCGGACTGACGATGCGCCCCACAGGCTTGGTGCGGGGAGCAGGAACAGGCCGGGCCGGGCTGGCGACGCGCACCATTGGCTTGGTGCGAGGGGCAGGAACAGGCCGGACCGGGCTGGCGACGCGCACCATTGGCTTGGTGCGAGGGGCAGGAACAGGCCGGACCGGGCTGACGACACGCACCATTGGCTTGGTGCGAGGGGAAGGAACCGGCCGGGCCGGGCTGGCGACGCGCATCACAGGCTTGGTGCGAGGGACAGGAACAGGCCGGACCGCACTGGGAACACACACCACTGGCCTTATTTGGGGATCAGGAACGGGCCGGACCGGACTGGCAACACACTTCAGTACCTCTCGCCGTGCCTCTACACTTTCCCTCCCTCTAATCACCAATGGCTCCCGTAACCCGGTGGCCTTCTCTCCTCGTCCACCAACTCGCCCTTTATCTGCCTCCAGCAGCCCCGTCGCCCATGCCATGTGCCCCCCCCTAAACATTTCTTGGGGGTGCCTCTCCCCCGTGGATATGGCCTCCATGGCTCTCGCCAGACTCTCCATCCTCTGCTCCCAAGTCCAACCTCTCTCCTCTTCACGCTGCTTGACCCAGTCGAGGTGGTATCTTCTGTCACGATCGTAATTTGAAGAAACGGGCCAATGCGCAGCGTGGAATGCGAACATCTTTTATTTATATTTCACCACACGAACAAAAACAACAAAACGATACGTGAAGTCCTTGGGTACATACACAAACCAACACGGAACAAGATACCACACCACACAAATGCCAAACGACTACCTAAGTATGGTTCCCAATCAGAGACAACAAGCAACAGCTGATTCACGTTGCCTCTGATTGAGAACCACCCCGGCCAACATAGAAACACATCAACTAGATCCTGAACATAGAAACACAAAACATAGACTCTACACACCCTGGCTCAACATAACAGAGTCCCCAGAGCCAGGGCGTGACATGATAGAAAGAATGGCATGAGAGGCACTTTTACATGCCCTTCTACATTTGTGAAATGCAAATAATTTTATATTGCCTTAATACAACAAATAAATCTCACCATAATACATTAAATAGCAATTTGTAAAAGCCTTTTCACCCCTCTACCATCTAAAAATACTTTCTGAAATGTAGTTGCAATTCATAGACAGTAGCACAGTGTTAGTCACACATGATTAATATAATTCTGTGTGTGTACTCTATATTGCAGGATTATCCTAAAGATAAGTCTGTGAGATAGTAACACCTGCCTTTGCCTTGCTTTTATTTGTTTTTGGAGTTTTGGTTAATCACACAGTCGGTTTGACTTCTTTTACTATGGTACATGGTCTGTACCTCTATATTTGTATCTGATAAGATCTTACTCTGATCTTCTGCTATGCTAAGAAACAATTATTCTCAAATTTGCAGCATAGGATGACAATTAATATTCTTGTTCATCCCAGCAGTTTGTATTTGTATTTCAGACCTATTCTTTGCACAATCAATTCAACTTCAATTTCATCAGGATGATCAGTTTACCCTTGGATTATTGCTTCTTCTCTTTCCCTTCACATTTTGATTACCCCTGTTGTAGATGTTGAAATCTAAAGGAGATAAATGGGCTTGCTGTTGTACTTGAGTTTGGTGCATGAGTTTGGAGGCAGGTAATCTCTCTTGCAATTCGCACAATATGTAAAAAAATTAGCTAAATGTATGATTTGTTACGAATGGTGGCTAACTTTAGCTAGGCTAAGGGTTAGGGTTAGGTGTTAAGGTTAGGGTTAGGGTTAAGGCTAGGAGTTAGGTTAATGGGTTACGGTTAGGGTTAGGGTAAGCTAACATGCTAAGTAGCTAAAAAGTAGTAAGTATTTGCAAAGTTGCTAATCAGCTAAAATTGATTTTTGTCTTAAGTAACCTTCTTTCTTATGTAACCATACCAAACGTAACATATCATACTAATTTCAGTTTCCAGATTTACATTTACTATGTTACGTCTAGTCTATGAGACCAGGCTGCAGTGAGAGGTTGCCCCCTTGAAAACCTGATTTGCATACTTTGCATTTGCATTCTGCTCTGTTAACACTTGAGGAGGTCACACTGGTGTGCTATGGGAAGTTACTTTGTAAACTTGAGCATATGGTTGGATGTTGTATCAGACACGCATCTTTGCTATGTGGGTTTGTTTTTCCAGAGGGCTGCTCTGTCTCCCCACTACATCCCCTCGTCACCTTCCTCCTTACTTTACTAGCAGACCTGGAAATTATGTCTTGTTGAGAGAGATTGCAAACAAATTGCAATAACTGTCCCATTTTTTTTATACAGCTTCCATTCTATGAATATCGTTCAGTGTGCACCCTGTTTCTTGGATATATAAGATACAATCGCTTACGATAGGATGGTCAAAAACTGTTTAGTATAACTTATAACAAATAATATAATCTGAAAACCACAATGAAATGCATATGATGAAAATATAATTACTTTTGCAATGTAAAACAAGTCAATCTACTTGTTTACTTCAAAATACAAGCCTATAATCCAAAATAAATGTGTGCTATTGAAATGATGTCACGTCTCTAGTCTGACTGCAAATTGACTTGAAAACCAATAAGGATTTCGGCTGGGTTTACTCAACTCTCATAAGCCCCTGAATCAGACAAAACAAGAGAGTCTGATTCAGTCAAAAAGAGAGAGTGAGTATGCAGTGGGATTAGAGTGAAATGACTTCTCCTGAACCACCATCTTTGCCTTTCAGCTGATTAACCAGAAGATCAGGATGTGCACGCAGTTGTACAGCTCCAGGTCGTTCTTCTCCGTGCTGGAGTACCTGCTGGCCGTCGGCAATTACCTCAATGAGAACGCAGGGAAGGGAAAGGCCAAGGGATTCCGCCTCTCCTCCTTATCTAAAGTAGGTGCTCGTCTCCTCCTTATCTAAAGTAGGTAGTCCTCTCCTCCTTATCTAAAGTAGATGCACCTCTCCTCCTTATCTAAAGTAGGTGCTCCTCTCCTCCTTATCTAAAGTAGGTGCTCCTATCCTCCTTATCTAAAGTAGGTGCTCCTCTCCTCCTTATCTAAAGTAGGTGCTCGTCTCCTCCTTATCTAAAGTAGGTGCTCCTCTCCTCCTTATCTAAAGTAGGTGCTCCTCTCCTCCTTATCTAAAGTAGGTGCTCGTCTCCTCCCTATCTAAAGTAGGTGCTACTCTCCTCTGTATCTAAAGTAGGTGCTCCTCTCCTCTGCTGTCACCTGACCTTTGGTGGAGTGTCTAGCACTAGACTAATAAAACTTCTCATTGATATACACAGAGGGATCTCCCTCCTCCTTCTCTCTCTTTTCAATTTCTCCTGTCCATCCTCTACCTGGTCAGCTGAGTCCAACTCAGGTTGGGTCATTCCCCCTAGTGTGTCTAACTCTGACACGCAGGTGATTGCATCACCGCCTGGCTTCACAAATCAAATGGAACTTCTTGCCATGGCGCAGACGCTGGGCCGGTGGACATTGGACAAGTGGACCGTGAGGTGACCTACTATTCACAGTGGGCAATGGCAGTCACAACTCACAACATCTTTCACCTTACTGGACCTTTTCTTTAAGTCTAAATATTGGTAGTTTTTGTCTAGTCTTTTTTTGGATTAGACTCCTTGTTTATTAGATACATGTTTTTTTTTGTAAATTTGTCTGGGATTATTTTAGATCTCTCTGAACTATTAGCATAGGTCTTTGAGCGTAGTATACGACTCCTTGGTAGTTTCTATAGATTGCCGACTGAGCCGCTGCTGTGCTGTACTGGTCTCCTGATGGGAAGATTGAATGGCACTTTGCCCCAGATTTAAAATGCTTCCTCTCTATCTAATAAGACTGCAGTCTTCCTCCCAAAGCCTCACAGAGAAGGTTTGAAGGTGAAACAGAGAGAGCTAAATAGTTTGCACTGTGAGGGGACTCTGTGTTGTGAAATCAATAGCTGGACCTGGACATTGATATAGTAACTGTAAGATAAGAGAAAGCCATAGAGGTTGCTGTTGTTGTTGTTGTTGTTGTTTATCTTCAGTTGATGCTTCGTGCATCTTTTCTAGACTGGTCCTCAGGGGAGCGCCCTGGACCTCAAATTGGTAAACAACGTAACATAGAAAAGACTATGGAATAAATCCCTTCACAGGATTAGAGAGAGAGAGATGTTCCCCTTGCATTTCAATTAAGACAGAAGCCACAAGCAACTGTGGTGCAGCAAGGCTTGCATTTTAGAAAGATCATTAACATTTATATAAATAGGTTTAATATGGGTTTTCATTAATTTTCAGGAAATGTAACACTCCTCAAGTATTTTTTTATTCACAGAAAAAGCTCACCACTGTCAAAGGACACAACGTATTACGGCTCTACTAAAGGTGATAATGACTCTGTATATAACATGGAAGCTTTTATGATGTGATGTTTTTGTTACGATATGATGCTTTTTGTTTTGATTTGTTTTCAAATCAAATTGATAAGAAACACACAGCCATTTCTGAGTAACAAAAGTATTAGCAATACCTTGAACAATCAGTTGACCTTGTCGGGTTAACGCAAAAATGGAAGAGTCAATGAAAACCTTGTGGATTGTTGATACATGCATCCAATAATACAAAGCAACATGCCTCAATATTAACACAGAGAGAAATTAACAGAAACTGTACGTTGAGATCCTATTGTTTGAGTAGCCTTGGTGGCAGGGCACTTGCATTCGTACACGCGGCACACAAAAATGTGTGCATTCTTCTGCTCTGCTGTGCAACTCAAGGCCTGGTAGGAACAATAGTTGTATGGCTCAGCCAGGACTCTGTGCTATAGGGCTGCTGCAGGTGTACAAGCATTCCCTCCTCTCTCCTATCTAATTTTCTGGTGAAGGTCTCTGTGTAGAAACAGCACAGTATGTTTTTAATATTTGATTTATCATAAACTATTTTTATAATGGAGAGAGTGTCACACCCCACCTTCCAATGTCCCTCTTCAACCCCACAGCTCTCCCAGCTCCGTGGGACAGACAGGAAGTTCACCTTGCTGCATGCCCTTGTGGAGCAGATCATGTTGCACGAACCCGGCTTGGCCACTTTTCCCCAAGAGTTGACGGAATTTGAAACTGTACCTGGGGGTAAGTAATCAAGATTTTGGTCAAAGCCCCCGAAATCTGTCCTGTATGTTTCAATTGGAGCAGTTTAGGTAAAACACTTAGGTATTTCTCTCTGTGTTTCTGATCAGCTTCCATTAAAGGCATCACTGCTGAATTGGACGGTGAGTCTACCACGTTTCCTATCCTGTCCAATGATGTATCTGTAAAAAACAAGTGTTGCTCTTTACAGTGCTGAGATCTAATGATACAAAGACAGTGCAACAGTGACTGTATTTTCTTTATACACCTATGAATGATATTGTCTAAGATAGTATGATCTAGCTAGTTCAAGGAGTTGACTGGTTTGATGGCGCAGTTAAATGTAAAGTGTAAAGACATGTAGGCCTAATGTCAGCTTCATGTATGGACATTTATGATGACTTTTGGTTGAATAATTGTGATGAACAGTTGACATGAGTGCAGATCAGCCACTTGGCTTGATCCAGGCAGCAGAAAGGAGAAAATAGTGATTTAAAGTAGAGAGTATTTGCTTCAGTGATCAGGTATGATGGATGATGAACATGATGTGTCATCCCCTCCAGTTCTCAAGAATGAGTTACAGAAGGCCATTCAGTACAAGAAAACATACAAGAGAAGAAACCAAGGAAATCAACACCCAAAGTTTTCCAAAGACCTGAAGGTCAGTTATTCCGATAGGCCTATTCTCTCTTTTCAGTTCATATTCAGATGGACAGATACAGTGCCTTGCAAAAGTATTCATCCCCCTTGGCGTTTTTCCTATTTTGTTGCATTACAACCTGTAATTTAAATGGATTTTATTTTACACATGATCTGTCACATGATCTCAGTATATATACACCTGTTCTGAAAGGCCCCAGAGTCTGCAACACCACTAAGCAAGGAGTACCACCAAGCAAGCGGCACCATGAAGACCAAGGAGCTCTCCAAACAGGTCAGGGACAACGTTGTGGAGTAGTACAGATCAGGGTTGGGTTATTTAAAAAATATCCGAAACTTTGAACATCCCACGGAGCACCATTAAATCCATTATTAAAAAATTGAAAGAATATGGCACCACAACAAACCTGCCAAGAGAGGGCCGCCCACCAAAACTCACAGACCAGGCAAGGAGGGCATTAATCAGAGAGGCAACAAAGAGACCAAAGATAACCCTGAAGGAGCTGCAAAGCTCCACAGCGGAGATTGAAGTATCTGTCCATAGGACCACTTTAAGCCGTACACTCCACAGAGCTGGTGTTCGCCAAAAGCCATGTGGGAGACTCCCCAAACATATGGAAGAAGGTACTCTGTTTAGATGAGACTAAAATTTAGCTTTTTGGACATCAAGGAAAACGCTATGTCTGGCGCAAACCCAACACCTCTCATCACCCCGAGAACACCATCCCCACAGTGAAGCATGGTGGTGGCAGCATCATGCTGTGGGGATGTTTTTCATCTGCAGGGACTGGGAAACTGGTCAGAATTGAAGGAATGATGGATGGCGCTAAATACAGGGAAATTCTTGAGGGAAACCTGTTTCAGTCTTCCAGAGATTTGAGACTGGGACGGAGGTTCACCTTCCAGCAGGACAATGACCATAAGCATTGTCCTGCTAAAGCAACACTTGAGTGGTTTAAGGGGAAACATTTAAATGTCTTGGAATGGCCTAGTCTAAGCCCAGACCTTAATCCAATTGAGAATCTGTGGTATGACTTAAAGATTGCTGTACACCAGAGGAACCCATTCAACTTGAAGGAGCTGGAGCAGTTTTGCCTTGAAGAATGGGCAAAAATCCCAGTGGCTAGATGTGCCAAGCTTATAAAGACATACCCCAAGAGACTTGCAGCTGTAATTGCTGCAAAAGGTGGCTGAATAGTTATGCACGCTCAAGTTTTCTGTCCTCTTTCCTGTTTGTTTCACAATTACATGTTTTTGCATCTTCCAAGTGGTAGGCCTGTTGTGTAAATCAAATGATACAAACCCCCCAAAAATCCATTTTAATTCCAGGTTGTAAGGCAACAAAATAGGAAAAATGCCAAGGGGGGTGAATGCTTTCGCAAGCCAAAAACAAGAAAAACTTTGACACACTGAATAAACATCAGCCCGTTGCAGCCCGTTGCATTGCACCATCACACTATATCGCTAATTCACAGTGCTTGTCCCAAGATGAGCACATCATAGTATGTGGCAGGGAAGTTAATTTATATTTGCCAGGTATACTGTTTGTTGCTTCATATTGCATTATGTTTCTCTGATGGTGTCGGCTGTCAGTTTGGAGTGATAGTTTTGTGACGCAACAAAAAAACACAGGTATTCTGATATTATACATAAAATAATTAATATTTTTAACCGGAGCTCCTCTTCACCCTTCTCCTTTCTCACTCTCACCCCAGATGGCGATTGAGAAGTACAACACCGATTTCTCCCTGCTGACAAAGAGGTCTGATGAGATGAAGAAGCTTTACACTGAGATATTGGTAATCGCAGAGTTATTATTTTAATATGTCTGTTGTGCAGCCCCTCCAGAGAGAAATGGTTACTCTAGTACTGAAATGTCGAGATGGCCCTTTTCCATGGTTTCAGCTTATCTATCTTTCCACTGTGAAGATGGAGGGGGGATTGAAGAGGATATACAGTGCATTTGGAAAGTATTCAGACCCTTGACTTTTTCCAAATTTTGTTACGTTACAGCCTTATTCTAAAATGGATTAAATAAATAAAAATCCTAATCAATCTACACACAAAACCCCATAATGACAAAGCGAAAACAGGTTTTTTGAGATTTTTTGCAAATGTATTAAAAATAAAAAACAGAACTACCTTATTTACATAAGTATTCAGACCCTTTGCTATGAGACTCGAAATTGAGCTCAGATGTATCCTGTTTACATTGATCATCCTTGACATGTTTCTACAACTTGATTGGAGTCCACCTGTGGTAAATTCAATTCATTGGACATGATTTGGAAAGGCACACACGTCTATATAAGGTCCCACAGTTGACAGTGCATGTCAGAGCAAAAACCAAGCCATTAGGTCGAAGGAATTGTCCGTAGAGCTCCGAGACAGGATTGTGTTGAGGCACAGATCTGGGGAAGGGTACCAAAACAGTTCTGCAGCATTGAATGTCCCCAATTACACAGTGGCCTCCATCATTCTTAAATGGAAGAAGTTTGTAACCACCACAACTCTTCCTAGAGGTGGCTGCCTGGCCAAACTGAGCAATCGGGGGAGAATGGCCTTGGTCAGGGAGGTGACCAAGAACCCGATAGTCACGCTGACAGAGTTCTAGAGTTCCTCTGTGGAGATGGGAGAACCTTCCAGAAGGACAACCATCTCTGCAGCACTCCACCAATCAAGCCTATATGGTAGAGTGGCCAGACGGAAGCCACTCCTCAGTAAAAGGCACATAAATCCCGCTTGGAGTTTGCCAAAAGGCACCTAAAGACTCTCAGACCATGAGAAACAAGATTATCTGGTCTGATGAAACCAAGATTGAACTCTTTGGCCTGAATGCCAAGCGTCATGTCTGGAGGAAACCTGGCACCATCCCTACGGTGAAGCATGGTGGGGGCAGCATCATGCTGTGGGGATGTTTTTCAGCGGCAGGGACTGGGAGATTAGTCAGGATCGAGGCAAAGATGAACGGAGCAAAGTACAGAGAGATCCTTGATGAAAATGTGCTCCAGAGCACTCAGGACCTCAGACTGGGGTGAAGGTTCACCTTCCAAGAGGACAACGACCCTAAGCACACAGCCAAGACAACGCAGGAGTGGCTTCGGGACAAGTCTCTGAAGGTTCTTGAGTTGCCCAGCCAGAGCCCGGACTTGAACCCAATCGAACATCTCTGGAGAGACCTGAAAATAGCTCTGCGGTGACGCTCCTCATCCAACCTGACAGAGCTTGAAAGGATCTGCAGGCAAGAATGGGAGAAACTCCCCAAGTACAGGTGTGCCAAGATTGTAGTATCTTACCCAAGAAGACTCGAGGCTGTAATCGCTGCCAAAGATGCTTCAACAAAGTACTTAGTAAAGGGTCTGAATACTTCTGTAAATGTGATAGTTCAGTTTTGTATTAGCAAAAATGTCTAAAAAACAGTTTTTGCTTTGTCATTATGGGGTACTGTGTGTAGATTGATGTAACGTAACAAAATGTGGAAAAAGTCAAGAGGTCTGAATACTTTCCACTGTATATATTTCAAATAAGTTATTCTTCAAGGTTACTAACTTCTGCAGCAGAAGCTTAAACTTGATATGTAATAGTTAGCATAGAGCACAGCTCAGAGTCTGTGTCTATTAATACTATAATACACAGTAGGGTATTAGAGTCTGTCCCTATTAATACTATAATACACAGGAGGGTTTTAGAGTCTGTCCTTATTAATACTATAATACACAGGAGGGTATTAGAGTCTGCCCCTATTCATACTATAATAAACAGGAGGGTATTAGAGTATGTCCCTATTAATACTATAATACACAGGAGGGTATTAGAGTCTGCCCCTATTAATACTATAATACACAGGAGGGTATTAGAGTCTGTCCCTATTAATAGGTTTAAGATGGCGCCGACAGAGAGGGCTGCCTCGCTTCTAGTCCTTAGGAAACTTTGCAGTATTTTGTTTTTTATGTATTATTTCTTACATTGTTAGCCCAGAAAATCTTAAGTGTAATTACATACAGCCGGGAAGAACTATTGGATATCAGAGCGGCGTCAACTTACCAGCACTACAACCAGGAATACAACTTTCCCGAAGTGGATCCTTTGTTCCCACCACCCAGGGCATTTGAACTGATTCCAGAGGCCGACCCAAAACAACGGTGCCGGAGGAGAGGGAGCCGGAGCGGTCTCCTAGTCAGACTTAGGAGGCACACAGTATATTACTCTCTAATGTCCAGTCCCTAGATAACAAAGTGGACGAGATCAGGGCAAGGGTTGCTTTCCAGAGAGACATCAGGGATTGTAACATACTCTGTTTCACGGAATCATGGCTCTCTCGGAATATACTGTCCCCGTCCATACAGCCATCTGGGTTCTCAATATATCGCGCCGACAGGAATAAACATCTCTCCGGGAAGAAGAGGGGTGGGGGGGGGGGGGGTATGTTTCATGACTAACAACTCATGGTGTAATCGTAACAACATAGAGGAACTCAAGTCATTTTGTTCACCTGACCTAGAATTCCTCACAATGAAATGCCGACCGTACTATCTCCCAAGATAATTCTCTTTGTTTATTGTCACATTTGTGTATATCCCCCTCAAGCCGATACCAAAATGGCCCTCAAGGAACTCCACTGGACTTTATGCAAACTGGAAACCTGAGGCTGCATTTATTATAGCTAGGGATTTTAACAAAGCAAATTTGAGAAAAAGGCTACCTAAATTCTATCAGCATACTGACTGTAGCACTCGCGCTGGAAAAACATTGGACCATTGTTACACTCATTTCCGTTATGCATACAAGGCCCTCCCCCGCCCTCCTTTTGGCAAATCTGACAACGACTCCATTTTGCTCCTCCCTTCCTATAGGCAGAAACTCAAACAGGAAGCACCCGTGTTTAGGACTATTCAACGCTGGTCTGACCAATCGTAATCCACGCTTCAAGATTGTTTTGATCACGCAGACTGGGATATGTTCCGGGTAGCCTCTGAGAATAATATAGACGTATGCACTGATTCGGTTATTGGGTTTATAAGGAAGTGTATAGGATATGTCGTACCCACTGTGACTATTAAAACCTAACCAGAAACCGTGGATAGATGGCAGCATTCGCGAAGAAATGAAGCACGAACCCCCGCATTTAACCATGACAAGGTGACAGGGATTATGGCAGAATACAAACAGAGTGGTCGTTCCCTCCGCAAGGCAATCAAACAGGCAAAACATAAATATCGAGACAAAGTGGAGTCGCAAGTCAACGGCTCAGACACGAGACGTATGTGGCAGGGTTTACAGACAATCACGGACTATAATAGGAAAACAGCCACGTCGCGGACACCGACGTCTTGCTGCCAGACTAAACAAGTTATTTTCATGCTTTGAGGATAACACAGTGCCACCAACGCGGCCAGCTACCAAGGCTCTCCTTCTCAGTGGCCGACATGAGTAAGACATTTAAACGTGTTAACCCTCGCAAGGCTGCCGGCCCAGACGGCATTCCTAGCCGCGTCTTCAGAGCATGCGCAGACCAGCTGGCTGGTGTGTTTACGGACATATTCAATCTCTCCCTATCCCAGTCTGCTGTCCCCACATGCTTCAAGATGGCCACCATTGTTCCTGTACCCAAGAATGCAAAGGTAACTGAACTAAATGACTATCGCCCCGTAGCACTAACTTCTGTCATCATGAAGTGCTTTGAGAGACTAGTCAAGGATCATGTCATCTCCACCTTACCTGTCACCTTAGACCCACTTCAATTTGCATACTGCCCCAATAGGTCCACAGACGACGCAATCGCCATCACACTGCATACTGCCCTATCCCATCTGGACAAGAGGAATACCTATGTAAGAATGCTGTTCATTGGCTATAGCTCAGCATTCAACACCATAGTACCCTCCAAGCTCATCATCAAGTTTGAGGCCCTGGGTCTCAACCCCGCCACGTGCAATTGGGTCCTGGACTTCCTGACGGGCCGCCCCCAGGTGGTGAACATAGGAAACAACATCTCCACTTCGCTGATCCTCAACACTGGGGCCCCAAAAGGGTGTGTGCTCAGCCCCCTCCTGTTCTCCCTGTTCACCCATGACTGTGTAGCCATGCACGCCTCCAACTCAATCATCAAGTTTGCAGACAACACAACAATAGTAGGCTTGATTACTAACAACGATGAGACAGCCTACAGGGAGGAGGTGAGGGCTCTCGGAGTGTGGTGTCAGGAAAATAATCTCTCACTCAACATCAACAAAACAATGGAGATGATCGTGGACTTCAGGAAACAGCAGAAGGAGTACCCCCCTATCCACATCGACGGGACAGCAGTGGAGAAGGTGGAAATTTCCTCGGTGTACATATCACTGACAAACTGAAATGGTCCACCCACACAGACAGTGTGGTGAAGAAGGCGCAACAGCGTCTCTTCAACCTCAGGAGGCTGAAGAAATTTGGCCTGTCACCTAAAACCCTCACAAACTTTAACAGATGCACAATTGAGAGCATCCTGTCGGGCTCCATCACCGCCTGGTATGGCTACTGCACAGCCCACAACCGCAGGGCTCTCCAGAGGGTGGTACGGTCTGCACAACGCATCACCGGGGACAAACTACCTGCCCTCCAGTTCACCTACAGCACCCAATGTCACAGGAAGGCCAAAAAGATAATCAAGGACAACTACCACCTGAGCCACTGTCTGTTCACACACCTATCATCCAGAAGGCGAGGACAGTACAGGTGTATCAAAGCTGGGACTGAGAGACTGAAAAACAGCTTCTATCTCAAGGCCATCAGACTGTTAAACAGCCATCACTAGCACAGTGTATATACTGTACATCACTAGCATATGTATATACTGTATTCTATACTATCTTAATAATGTTTACATATCTGTCATTAGCCATCTCATATGTATATACTGTATTCTATACTATCTATTGCATCTTAGACTATGCCACTCTGATAATGATAATGACATTGCTCATCCATATATTTATATATTCTTATTCCATTCCTTTACTTAGATTTGTGTGTATTAGGTTTTTGTTGTAGAACTGTTAGATATTACTTGCTAGATATTGCTGCACTGTCGGAACTAGAAGCACAAGCATTTGCTACACTGGCAATAACATCTGCTAACCATGTGTATGTGACCAATAAATGTGATTTGATTTGACTATAATACACCGGAGGGCCATTTTCCAACCTATCCTATTTCCAGAAGGACGATCCATCATCACAAAGAGTCCACCTGACTCTGCTGCGTTCTGGGTTTGAGTTGTGAGCCTTGACAGGGTGACGGGTGAGCCTTGACAGGGTGAGGGGTGAGCCTTGCCAGGAAATTGTGATATAGTAGGTTCCACAATTAAATTCCTGTGCACTCCAATCTTTATCCTCCCCACCCTCTCGCACACGCGAGAATGGTGTGCTACAGCCTGAGCCAGGAGCAGAGAGAGAGAGAGAGAGAGAGAGAGAGAGAGAGAGAGAGAGAGAGAGAGAGAGAGAGAGAGAGAGAGAGAGAGAGAGAGAGAGAGAGAGAGAGAGAGAGAGAGAGAGAGAGAGAGAGCAAGCTGACCCTGACACAGCTTATATCTGTGACATTATCAGAACCTTCCCTCTGCTCCCCAGGGGAACAAAATTGCTGCAGTCAGACATGGAACCAATGGTAGTAGCCTATACTGTATAGTTAAATTGCTCTCCCAGTGTTACTGTAACGTTTATTTAGGCGGAAATGTGTCAAAATACTTTAAAGTTTTAAGTTAAGTTCAGTGTTCCATATGTGCTGCAGTGTTGTTGGCTTAGCTTTTCTGATTAGCGGTGTGATCATATAGCAGTTGAGCCGTGTTTGATTGATATTAGATGTTACTCTTGAGCCACTGTTTTAATGACGCAGCCTTTGTATTAGTTACTGACCCTGTAGTAAGTGTAGGCATGGATTCATGCAATGGCCACCCGTCTGTCTCATTTAAGATATTTAAGTCCAATAATTGTTTCCATGCTCACGTAGTGTAGCAGCTCATTATTACAAATGGAGTTACATTATGCATCCCAATCGAACCAGGGACATCAGTTAACCCCAGGAATTAGACAAAATGTATTATTAACCGTGGGTTGCCATTTTTTACAGATTATAACCTCTGAAAGAATGAAAGAAACTGAAGTGCTTGGGGCATGGGATGTCAAAAATAATACATTGGGTTATTTGTCTTTTTTCTTGAAGGTTAAATTCGGAGAGCCGATGGATCAAGATTCTCAGGAGCTGTTTGGCTTGGTGTGCCAGTTTGTCAACGACTTCAATAGGACACATGCTGAAATCAGATAACAATTTGCTGTCCTTGCGTGACTATCTATGAATCTTCAGCCAATCCAAACACAATTAAATGCTGAATACTTTGTAATATGCACATACAAATACACGTTTATTTACTTCATATTGTAAGGAGGCCATGACTTCTTACATTTTGCACTAATCAGTGACATACAGTGGGGGAAAAAAGTATTTAGTCAGCCACCAATTGTGCAAGTTCTCCCACTTAAAAAGATGAGAGAGGCCTGTAATTTTCATCATAGGTACACGTCAACTATGACAGACAAATTGAGAAAAGGAAATCCAGAAAATCACATTGTAGGATTTTTAATGAATTTATTTGCAAATTATTGTGGAAAATAAGTATTTGGTCACCTACAAACAAGCAAGATTTCTGGCTCTCACAGACCTGTAACTTCTTCTTTAAGAGGCTCCTCTTTCCTCCACTCGTTACCTGTATTAATGGCACCTGTTTGAACTTGTTATCAGTATAAAAGACACCTGTCCACAACCTCAAACAGTCACACTCCAAACTCCACTATGGCCAAGACCAAAGAGCTGTCAAAGGACACCAGAAACAAAATTGTAGACCTGCACCAGGCTGGGAAGACTGAATCTGCAATAGGTAAGCAGCTTGGTTTGAAGAAATCAACTGTGGGAGCAATTATTAGGAAATGGAAGACATACAAGACCACTGATAATCTCCCTCGATCTGGGGCTCCACGCAAGATCTCACCCCGTGGGGTCAAAATGATCACAAGAACGGTCAGCAAAAATCCCAGAACCACACGGGGGGACCTAGTGAATGACCTGCAGAGAGCTAGGACCAAAGTAACAAAGCCTACCATTAGTAACACACTACGGCAGGGACTCAAATCCTGCAGTGCCAGACGTGTCCCCCTGCTTAAGCCAGTACATGTCCAGGCCCGTCTGAAGTTTGCTAGAGTGCATTTGGATGATCCAGAAGAGGATTGGGAGAATGTCATATGGTCAGATGAAACCAAAATATAACTTTTTGGTAAAAACTCAACTCGTCGTGTTTGGAGGACAAAGAATGCTGAGTTGCATCCAAAGAACACCATACCTACTGTGAAGCATGGGGGTGGAAACATCATGCTTTGGGGCTGTTTTTCTGCAAAGGGACCAGGACGACTGATCCGTGTAAAGGAAAGAATGAATGGGGCCATGCATCGTGAGATTTTGAGTGAAAACCTCCTTCCATCAGCAAGGGCATTGAAGATGAAACGTGGCTGGGTCTTTCAGCATGACAATGATCCCAAACACACCGCCCGGGCAACGAAGGAGTGGCTTCGTAAGAAGCATTTCAAGGTCCTGGAGTGGCCTAGCCAGTCTCCAGATCTCAACCCCATAGAAAATCTTTGGAGGAAGTTGAAAGTCCGTGTTGCCCAGCGACAGCCCCAAAACATCACTGCTCTAGAGGAGATCTGCATGGAGGAATGGGCCAAAATATCAGCAACAGTGTGTGAAAACCTTGTGAAGACTTACAGAAAACGTTTGACCTGTGTCATTGCCAACAAAGGGTATATAACAAAGTATTGAGAAACTTTTGTTATTGACCAAATACTTATTTTCCACCATAATTTGCAAATAAATTCATTAAAAATCCTACAATGTGATTTTCTGGATCTTCTTTCCTCATTTTGTCTCTCATAGTTGACTTGTACCTATGATGAAAATTACAGGCCTCTCTCATCTTTTTAAGTGGGAGAACTTGCACAATTGGTGGCTGACTAAATACTTTTTTTCCCCACTGTATAACATGAATGGCAACCTTGAAACGTCTTTGGGTCTTTGAAAAGCGCTATATAAATCACATTATTATTATTAATATTATTGTTGCTATTTGTGTGCACTAAGATGCCACACGAGCTGTGTTTTTTTAAGTAGTCCAAGACATAGCTGTAGTTTCAGTTTACAGTTGTGTCTAATACTATGTTTAGGCAGCTAGACTTGAGGATTGCAATTTCAGTGGGAAAACACTAGAGTGAATAATGATTTGCTGTTATTAAAACAAATCTATATGGGATATATAACAGGTACTGTATGTCGTTTGAAGACTGTGTCTGACATTTTAATCAGAAGAAAGCAGTGTTGGTTAGTTGCTAACTGTGAACCAACAGCATAATGAACAAGGACCCCATGCTGTTGTAAGTGATTCATAAAGCTGTACTTGTACAACAAAAAATATTATATTTGAATTCATTATTTCTATAACAAAATGCTGGTGAATGATTAGAATTCGAAAATTGAGAGAAAACATGGTATTAAATGTGGCAGAAGATGACTTATTACTTTTGTGATATTACATATTTACCTAGACTGGGTTATTTTTTTCTCGTTTCTGAAACAAATTTGATCCGATTTTGTACAATTTGATTAAGAGAAAAGATAGAAGAGCAGAGGCCGTGTTCCAGCGGCTCCCCCACCGGATGATGGGGTTCAATCCCCGCTCCAACCCTTTAATCTGTTTCTACCAACTGCCTGTAACCCCTCTGATTTCTTCCCTTTCAAAATAAACAAAAAAAAGCCCATTCAAACTATACTAAACAAAAATATAAATGCAACAATTTCAACGATTTTACTGAGTTACAGTTCATATAAGGAAATCAGTAAATTGAAATAAATAAATAATGCCCTAATCTATGGATTTTACATGACTGGGCAGGGGTGCAGCCATGGGTGGACCTGGGAGGGCATAGGCCCACCCACTTCGGAGCCAGGCCCACCCACTGGGGAGCCAGGCCCAGGCAATCATAATTAGTTTTTCCCCACAAAAGGGCTTTATTACAGACAGATATACTCCAATTTCATCAGCTGTCCGGGTGGCTGGTCTCAGACGATCCCGCAGGTGAAGAAGCCAGATGTGGAGGTCCTGGACTGGCGTGGTTACACATGGTCTGCGGTTGTGAGGCCGGTTGAACGTCCTGCCAAATTCTCTAAAACGACGTTGGAGGCGGCTTATGGTAGAGAATTGAACATAAAATTCTCTGGAAACAGCTCTGGTGGACATTCCTGCAGTAAGCATGCCAATTGCACGCTCCCTCAAAACTTGAGACATCTGTGGCATTGTGTTGTGTGACAAAACTGCATTTTATTGTCCCCAGCACAAGGTGCACCTGTGTAATTATTATGCTGTTTAATCAGCTTCTTGATATGCCACACCTGTCAGGTGGATGGATTACCTTGGCAAATGAAAAATGCTCACTAACAGGGATGTAAACACATTTGTGCACAACATTTGAGAGAAATAAGCTTTTCATGCGTATGTAACATTTCTGGGATCTTTTATTTCAGCTCATGAAACATGGGACCAACACTTTACAAGTTGTGTTTATATTTTTGTTCAGTATATTTCCAATATGAATGAGCTTGGTGCACAGCAACTAAAGCTTGACCATGTTTCAGCGTGTGAGGACCTAGAAACCTACAGTCAATGAAAATATAATGTTGGATAGTTTCTCATGAAATTATGCCCTATATTCCTCCTACCCATCTGTGCTTGCTATGCTACAATTTGTTTAATTGACTACACTTTTCCTGTCATATGTAATTTTCACTTAATACCCATGACTTTAAATACTTAGTCATGTCAAGTGTGAAACTTCAAGGCAGGTTGTTTTTATGTAAAGCCCTGTTTATACCTGGTGCTAACATGGGTCCTTTGTCCTCATCAGAAATGTGTCTACACATGGTATTCAACTGTGTCTGTTATCTGTCCACTGTGTCTGCATTGTGGCCAGATTTCCTGGTCCCTTCCTTTATTCAAATTATTTCACAGATATTCTTTCAAAATAATATTTATTTATTGTAAGACACTTACAGTGAGGGAAAAAAGTATTTGATCCCCTGCTGATTTTGTACGTTTGCCCACTGACAACGAAATGATCAGTCTAGAATTTTAATGGTAGGTTTATTTGAACAGTGAGAGACAGAATAACAACAACAAAATCCAGAAAAACGCATGTCAAAAATTTTATAAATTGATTTGCATTTTAATGAGGGAAATAAGTATTTGATCCCTCTCAATCAGAAAGATTTCTGGCTCCCAGGTGTCTTTTATACAGGTAACGAGCTGAGATTAGGAGCACACTCTTAAAGGGAGTGCTCCTAATCTCAGTTTGTTACCTGTATAAAAGACACCTGTCCACAGAAGCAATCAATCAATCAGATTCCAAACTCTCCACCATGGCCAAGACCAAAGAGCTCTCCAAGGATGTCAGGAACAAGATTGTAGACCTACACAAGGCTGGAATGGGCTACAAGACCATCGCCAAGCAGCTTGGTGAGAAGGTGACAAAAGTTGGTGCGATTATTCGCAAATGGAAGAAACACAAAAGAACTGTCAATCTCCCTCGGCCTGGGGCTCCATGCAAGATCTCACCTCGTGGAGTTGCAATGATCATGAGAATGGTGAGGAATCAGCCCAGAACTACACAGGAGGATCTTGTCAATGATTTCAAGGCAGCTGGGACCATAGTCACAAGAAAACAATTGGTAACACACTACGCCGTGAAGGACTGAAATCCTGCAGCGCCCGCAAGGTCCCCCTGCTCAAGAAAGCACATATACATGCCCGTCTGAAGTTTGCCAATGAACATCTGAATGATACAGAGGAGAACTGGGTGAAAGTGTTGTGGTCAGATGAGACCAAAATGGAGCTCTTTGGCATCAACTCAACTCCCCGTGTTTGGAGGAGGAGGAATGCTGCCTATGACCCCAAGAACACCATCCCTACAGTCAAACATGGAGGTGGAAACATTATGCTTTGGGGGTGTTTTTCTGCTAAGGGGACAGGACAACTTCACCGCATCAAAGGGACGATGGACGGGGCCATGTACCGTCAAATCTTGGGTGAGAACCTCCTTCCCTCAGCCAGGGCATTGAAAATGGGTCGTGGATGGGTATTCCAGCATGACAATGACCCAAAACACATGGCCAAGGCATCAAAGGAGTGGCTCAAGAAGAGGCACATTAAGGACCTGGAGTGGCCTAGC